CCCTTTGCATGTCTCCCCCAGTTTTCATTGGCTGCCTGCTGCTGTCTGCACCTGTATTTGGCTACCTGGGTGACCGACATAGCCGCAAGGCCACACTGACCTTTGGGATCCTGCTCTGGTCAGGAGCTGGCCTCTCCAGCTCCTTCATCTCCTCCCAGGTACCTTTCCCATGGGCTTTCTCCCCAGTCCAGAACTGTGGGAGGTAGGCTCTGGCTTGGGCTTACCTGCCAGGTCGGGTCAGGGGTGGGGGTGGCGGGGTGCAGGCTCCATCTCTCAGCTTGGTCAGCGCCAGGGCCTGTTAGGTTTTCTTCAGAGCAGGCTTCCTCCTTGCATCACCTGCTACGACCCATGGCGCCACTTCCGCCCCACTCTGTTGAGATTGTGGTGTGGGGTGTCAGCTGCTGTCTTGGGGAGCTGGCCTGGTGAGCAAAGCCTGACAATGCGCCCCCCTGGACTCTCGGGGAGGTGGTTGGCTCTAGGCCACAAACAAGGAGTGCACTGCAAGGATTTGGGGCACATGGGGTTGCCCAGAGAGAAAGACGTTTACTCTCTTGTCGAGAGTTACAGTCTTACTGGAATAGACACCTACTCTGGATATGGGTTTGCCTTCCCTGCACGTGATGCTTCTACCAAAACTACTATTCGTGGACTTACAGAATGCCTCATCCACTGGCATGGCATCCCCTGCCCTGCCGGGTCGCTGTGAGTCGGACTCGACTCGATGGCAGTGAGTTTGGTTTGGGGGTTGCCAAGGATGGCGAGGTGTCTACAGCCCTGATCCTCTCTCCCTCCTGCGGGGACACATGTCATGAGGCACCCAAGGTCCCTCTGACAAGCCCCCAGGGGGTCTCTGAGACTCACTGGGCCCCTGTGCCGGCTTGTCCAGTACCCCTGGCTCTTCTTCCTGTCCCGGGGCATTGTGGGCATCGGCACAGCCAGCTACTCCACCATCGCACCCACCGTCCTGGGGGACCTCTTCGCCAGCGACCAGCGGACCCGAGTACTGGCCGTTTTCTACATCTTCATCCCTGTTGGAAGGTTGGTACCATCCTTGGGCCCAAACCGAGGCACAAAGGAGTCAGAACAGAGGCTGAGCTTGGGTCGAGGGAGAAGAGATCAAACCAGGAGAGCTGGGCTTGGGAACTTACTTCTACTCACCTGTGGCCATATTCTCTCACCTCTTTAAGCCTCAATGTTCCTCATCTGTAAAGGGGGGCAGTAGCACCCACTGGGGGGATGTGGCAAAGAAGAGTTAACTGACCCTCTTGGGCTAGTTCCCTCGAGGAGATGGGGAGAGGGGCAGGGTGACATGGGGCCCACTCAGGGTATGGCTGCTCTGGGGCGTGACAGAAGGGAGTGGGCCCATGGAGGCCCTGCACCCCAAAAAGGGTGGGGCGGGGTGGGGCCTGCAGTCAGACCCCTGAGCTCTGACCCAGGTTTCCTGGAATTGCCTGACTCAGGCGGGGCGGGGTCTTGGGTGGGGAGTCCTCATCTGAGGCCAGAGTGTGGTGCTGGGGGCCGGCCAGGAGCCAAAGGCCACCAGGGGAACTGACCAAGGGCAACGGACATCTGAGCCTCGTGTGACCCACTTTCTTGGGGTTTCTGCGGGCGGTGAGCCTGCTCAGGGTCCACTCCAAGTGGAACTGGCCCTCCGTTCCCCTCGGTCTCCCCTCACCGCTCGTTCCCGCACCCCTGTGTTTCAGTGGTATGGGCTATGTGCTGGGATCGGGTGTGACGAAGCTGACCGGGAACTGGCATTGGGCCCTTCGAGTGAGTCCAGTTTCCTTTCCCCCCTCCGCACCCCCTCCCCCGTGGGGCAGGGACTTTCCAGCCTCGGAGGCCTGGGCAGCCATTTGGCACGGTGACTGGCGCCATGGAGTGGAGGGTGGGGAGGTCAGAGGTCGGCAGAGTCTGGCCTGTAAGGCCCTATGCGGAACGCAGTGGTGGAGTCGTGGCCCCGGGTTCTGGGTTCGCATCTCAGCCGCTCAGCTGACTCGCTAGGTGACTTCAAGCAAGCCGCCTTACTCTTCCAAACTTCAATCTGTCTACCTGTAAAGTGGGGTTCATAATGCCTCCTTATGGAAGCCTGAGGGTGAATGAGACAAGGGATGCTGGGGCACACAGTAGGTCCTTCAGGACTGGCAGCTAGGGTCACTCAGGTAGTGGATCCAGGATA